TATAAAAACAATAAAAAATTTTAAAAATGTTCTTAAGTAATCTTAAACTATAGGTTTTTAAAAATATTTTTAAAAATTTTTATAATATTTAAATGATTATTAATAGAGTTATATTAAAAAACCAATTTCAAAAAATTATGAATCATTCTGTATATGATACAATTTTAATTTTTGACTTTTGACAATATATTATATTATCAAAATAATAATAATAATTAATTATTATAAACTAATATAATCAAATTAAAAATATAAGGTTATAAAGTATATATATTTGTTTTTTTATTTATCTTTTTTATATTTATTTATATTAATTAAGTATATATATTTAGAGATTAAGTTGAATATAGATATAGATATATTTATATTTTTATATTATATAAAATTAATATATAGTATATGATAATATATATTTTACAGTATATTTTAATAAAGTTTTAATTGTAACAATTCAATATAATTTAATAATCATGTAATGTTAACCTAATTACAAATAAAAAAAATAAAAAAATAGTTTAACATAGATATATACAGTATATATATACCTATATGATATAATATACAATTAATTAATTTGAACATTGAAAATAATTAATATTTTTGGTTTTTCTTAAAATTATTAGTACTAATTCTATAATAAAAAAAGATGAATTAAAATAATATAAAAAATAAATAAATAAAAATTTCAAATAATTTATTTATTTATTTTGGTCAATTCTGTGACTAAGATTTATGCTAACGACAGTATGTTTTCATGCATAATGTACAATCGCCATTGAGAACAGCGCCCAATTTTTTATGTAAAAAAAATCGGGCATTGCCTTTTGTTGAAGACTTTACATTATTTATATACAGTAAAATAAGAAAATTAGGAATGATTTTCATTGTATTGTACTCGTTTAACCCCATTAACCAATTAAATAATAAAAAGTTGACCAGTTAGGAATTACTGCGTTGCAATAGATTAGGAAATAAAAATTTTTTAATAGTCAACCGAATTTACAACAATGTATTTGACGCAACATAAATACATTTATAAAGAATGCTCTCCCAGAATTTTTCTCATAACTCGTATCACTAGGGAATAGTATGGTTAGTGGATAGATGCGTGCGACATATAACCACACATACGTCATGTCATTTATGCAACGGAACACAAACTTAAGGTTGTAGAAATATATAAAAAGAATCGCAAAAAAATGTCCTATCATATTTAGTTCATTCATTACATGATGGAGGATTCTAATGAAGAAATCAAAGATATTGCAATACAGGATATGCCGTCCGAATTGCAACAAATCGAAAACGAAAGCAAAGAACCGAAGATTTATAGTGAAAATGAGGATTTGGAAAAATCACATGAGAAAGGGACATGTGAGGGCTATTCAAGTAAAATCAATATTAACGGACAAAATGTATTGATAGTAAAGAATGAAGATGATGTAGTGAGTGGCAAGTTAGCACCAAACTGTTGCGTTATAGGATCACCAGAACATGTAAGCACTGATTGTCGTGGTTAGCAAATTATCTGTCACGTGACACTTACTTCATTATAGGTAGCGGTCTTAAAAGCAAAAATCGATGAACTAAAATTGAACACGCAAAACTACGACAAAGAACGTGCAAGACTTGAACAAGAGCGTACCGAAGCGCAATCAAGAGCCGAAGAGGGTAGTATTCATGTTAAGGATCATTGATATTCAAAATAATTAATTTTTTTATCAAACATTTAGTTGGACGACAGCTTGACAAACTCGTAGCTGAGCTAAAGCAACTTGGCCAAGGAGATACAGATTCTGATCAAACCATACATGCGACAGTGCACACTTATGGTCATCTTCGAAAATTGGAAATTATAGCGGACGAGGAAGAGGAAGAGGATAATTACGAGAGATTAATAAGAAAACCAAGAGTACGGCAGTATTGGCACGCTGGAACTTTATATAGAGAATCTGAAGAGAGATCATCCAGTTATACAGAATTATTTTGGGACTTAATCTTTGCGGCAGTTGTTCAGAATTCAGGCGATGCATTAGTCGAAGATATTTCAGCATCCAACGTAGAAAAATTTGTGATTACGTTGTGAGTTTGAATTTTATATTTTATAAATAGGCGATTCAAATTTATTTAGAAAGCAAATGTCTCCCTTAGTTATCCTATATTTCGAGTGTGGTTGGATGTCCATAGTTATCTAAACATTTATAGTTCGGAAGATCTGATTGAAAAATTTTTACTTTTATGGGTGGGTAATTTATGCCAAAATCCTCCCAATACAAATCATTTTATTAAATATTGTGCGTCACACATTTAGGAGATGGTGTTGGTGGTTGTGATGGGAACTCATGCATTCGACATTTTCGAAAATACTAGCATCATATACACTAGTAAGTCTTATGAATGAATTATCGAATTTTTTTGTTGTTTTTTAAGTGGAGATTCTAAAGCAGATTATTTTTTTAGCTTCTTATGTAATGGCTAGAATGACCTTTGTAGTTTTATTCTTAAGCTTTGCGGTACAACTTCCGATGTTTCGTGCATCACTTATCACCCAAATATGGGGAATCTTTATTCCCTGCGTTTTTTGGATCATTTCCATATTCGTTCCGCATGAACAAAAATTGATTGTCATGTGGTTCGCTATAATTTTTGGCAAGTTCAAGTTATTATCAATTTTTCATGATTATGAGATTTTTTTTCTTATTAACATTCAATAATTATCAAATGTTGATGAGCAGAAATACTTTGGTATGCCCTGATCCCTATGTATAATCGCTTTTCAAAAAATCCGGTGATGCACGCCCACAGTCATGATTTTGAAAAGGTCGATGATATTTTGGAAAAAACCAAAGAACCAACTGTAACAAACGTTATAATCGAGAAACCGCACTTGGCAATGAAAACGAAAGGGACGGAATATCAAATGAGTTGGAAAGATTTGTTTCTAATATTTAAAAATCCAAAATATAAACAGGCTTTAAATATAGAACATGGTAGCGAACGACTTGGTATATTTGCTATTATTTGTTTAGGAGAAGGGGTAATTTGACCTATTTTATATCTGTTGGTATTATTCTTCAAATCAGATAGAAATTAATTTTTTGTCATGATTAGATGTTTGGTGTAGTTTATTCAAGTAACAACTCCAGACCTGATTGGATTCTTGGAAAGGTAAAAAATTCCTCATCATTTCATATCATTTTTGCCTATAAATACCTATTTTTTTAAAAAAAGTCTTAACTATATATTTTTCGCAAAAAAAAAAGGCAATTTTTGGTTTGATATTGGCATACAATTTACATTGGATATATTTTGACGTTGACGCCAGTAGACAATATCAACATGCACTAAGAAGACATGTAGTGACTGGTTTATGTTTTGTGATGATACACTTCCCATTGGTGAGTTTTTTCTTAATTATTTACTGCATATAAAGGTTTTGATTTCATGATTTTTCTATTACTTAGTATCCTTCTTTGTTTATCATTAGAATGTCTCGTTGATTGCTTTTGGGTAAGTTGCTAGTTAATAATGTTTTCGAAAAAGAATTTTTTCATTAATTGATTGCTTTCACACATAGCTCCTCATTAAAACAAGTTGTACAAATAAGAGATTTCTCTGGCGCCGACAGCATCCCGATCTTTGAAAATTCCCATACTACTGAATCACATTCGTTTCCGATGAACTTGCAATGGTTACACTGTTGTTCTTTGGCCGTTGTTATGTATTGCTTTGCTATAATTGGAGTTTTGCACAGGGGATTGGACAATGTTAATACTTTGAGAATTTCAAAGGTAGGATAACCTCACGATTTGGAGATTCTAGCATATTTATAACAAAATTTTCTAAACTTTTGCTCTTATCACATTCAGAGATATAGGATTTGCCTCCGTTTCGTAGTTGCAACGATATATGTGTTTTTGCCTTTAGCAGAACTAAATACAGTAAATCTAATGGCCATAACTTCGTCCATTTCCCTTTTCCTTGTAATTGTCGAAACATATGGGAGACTTCGGAAAGATGCGCCTCTATTCTTCAATTGTGACGAAGATATCATCGACAATGGAGATTATAAAAAAGTTCATCGACGTTATGTTAGATGGAGATGGGGATCAACAGATTTAAACAGAAAAGGATGGACCAGTGGTATATTGAAAAAGAAAAAACCTAATGAAAGTGACAATACTATAAATGAAGAGGTTACCAAAGATAATGAAGTTGGCGTTGTATTAGTTGATTACGAGGATGAGAGTAGGCATTTGTGAGAGAACTTGATGCAACCTATTTAAGATTATGACAACCATCTAGTATAATTTTCTCCTATCCAAATATTACATTGATGTAAATAAGAAAAAATCAATAGATCCTCCGAAAAATTTCTTTCATCTATGATGATGCCTTTTAAATTATTACTTTTGTGAGAAAACATCTTTGACTAAACATTTTATGGTCATGGAAAATCTTAGTGTTCAATAATAATTCAACATGAGTGAGGTACCAATATCCAGATGTATATTTACATCTAAAATCGTTAGTTATAGGTCGCGCCTAACAATAGAAAATATGCCCTGATATTAAGTAATAATTGTCAAAACATTGTTTCCTTTATGAATGCGTGAACTAATGTTATCATTTCCAAGGTTGGTGCCAAGGAGAAATACAAAAAATATGTAGTAGAACAATCAAGGTATTGGTTAGATAGATAACTCGAAACAATTTGGAAATTATTTGAATAAAATAAGAAAATATATTTTGAACCCATATACGAAGCAATTCTTAATTAATATTCGATATTCCAAAACCTTTTGTTCATAAAAATTATATTTATAAAAAAATGTGTTGTTAATGTATTATCCATATCCATATTATTACTATTATTTTAAAAATAATAAATATTGCATAATACATTGAAACAGATTATTTTTAAAAGTATTAAACATATAGCATAATACAACATTGATTATTTGAAAACTTGTAAGACAGTAGCTTTGACAAACAAATATTTTATCTAATTATTTGATTATAATCAGATAATCATTTAGATTTATTTTCTTTTTGAAAAAACAATAATTTAAATAATTGCTAATTAATTTTAAAGTTTCCAAAAAAACTTTGGTTATCGCTGTATATACTGTACTGCATATGTACAGCATTACGGGCAGAGTCCGACCTACGTATCACGCGTGCTATCGCGTCGAGTTTATCAAAGCTTATTAGATACTAACTATACCGAAAATTGGGATATAAATATCTTCATTATTCCTATTTTTATCGTGGCTTTTTATTTGCTTAATGCAGTTTTGTAAGGAAATTCTATGGAACATACTGTGGTACCATGTTTACTTTTAGAAACTGTATACAGTAAATCAATTCATCGATACAGATAACCGTCAACGTCAAATATCATCGATACAATATCGAAGATGTTGTGTTCATCTTGTGATTGCAACCATCTGGATTAACTCAATCCTTGATTGTTAAATGGTTCGATAAACCATTAATGGTGTTGTGCAGTATAGCACAAGAGTGGCGAGATAATTGCTATGATTAATAGGTAAACGGTAATTGTACTAATTGGGTGCTGTACTGTATTCAAGACGAAAATTCGAAAAAGATGGCATATACGCAAAACGCCAGGCACCCCGTGATCCACAACTTCGGATTTTCATTTTTCCAATTGTGAGATCTTAGGGTTCCACCGTGACACCTTTGCGAACTAAAATTCAAAACACCATAGAAGATGGACAACTTTGCTAGATCAAGTAATTTGATGCAATGATTGTGCGACCCAGATTCGTGACGTTCTCTGAAATCGATCGTAAACAAAATTATAAATATGTACATATATGCATTTACGAACAGTTGGTGTGTTCTTGGACGTTCCCTCTTAAGAGAACTTCGAGTATTCATTCATCAATGGAGAATTACAGCGAAGAAACAAAGAGTCAAGAAATAGAAGTTCTCGATGTATCGTCGCGCAAATCGCAAGACAAAAATGAATTACCAATAACAAGTGACGATGGCGGAGATTTACAAAAGGATACTCACAATGAATACTCCAAGAAATTAGACATTAATGGACAAAAAGTAATAGTAGTGAAGCGTGAAGGCGAGATAGTGAGCGGTGAATCGGTATCGAACTATTGTGTTATTGGATCACCAGAACATGTAAGCACCAAGTTCATCACATCACATTTCAATAGTCACGTGAAATCAAAGTACGAAATACTTATTTCTCACGAATCGTTAGGTAGCGGCGTTAAGAGCCAAAATTGATGAACTCAAGGCTAAATCTGAAAATTACGAAAAAGAACACGTACAGCTGGAACGAGAACGTGCAGAGGCGCAATCGAGATCCGAACAAGGTAAGATTCGGATTATAGATCAGAAGAAATATTCAAAATATTTAATTGTATTCTGTAAATTGTTTAGTTGGCCAGCAACTTGATAAACTTGTGACAGAGCTTAAGCAACTAGGTCATGGAGATGAAAACTCTGATCAAACTATACATGCGACAGTGCATACATTTGGTCATCTTCAGAAATTGGAAATTATAGCGGACGAGGAAGAAGAAGAGGTGAATTACGATAGGTTAATAAGGAAACCGAGAATACGACAATACTGGCATGAAGGAACTTTGCATAGAGAGGCTGATGAGAGAAGTTCTAGTTATACCGAGCTATTCTGGGACATAATCTTTGTGGCAGTTGTGCAGAACTCTGGACATTTATTAGTGGAACACATTTCCGGACAAAGCTTGGAAAAATTTATTGTTACATTGTAAGTTGGAATTGTATTATTTTGTACGGTGAGCGATTTAACTCTAATGATGGAGTTTTCCCATTTTCTTATTTTCTTAGTTTTCCTATATTTCGAATCTGGTTAGACCTTCATTATTACCTGAATGTGTATAGTTCGGAGGATCTGATCGAAAAATTTTTACTTTTATGGGTAAGCAGGAAATCCCTTTTACCTCCAGACCTATCTTTTAACTAATGGTTACGCGTCATTCTTTAGGAAATGATATTGGTGATTGTGATGGGAACGCATTCATACGATATTTACGGCGAGAGCAGTGTCATGTATTTTGGTAAGTTCTAATTAAAAGTGAGGTTTCTTTGCTTTCTTTCTTTTCAGTCGTATCTGAGAATTACGATTTTTTAGTTCCTTACATAATATGCAGGATGACCTTTGTACTATTATACCTGAATTATGCGATATCGATCCCAATGTTTCGCGCGGTGCTTATCAACAATGCCTGGCAAATTTTTATTCCTTGTGTTTTTTGGATCGTTTTTTTGTTTGTTCCGTATGAACAAAAGCGTCCGATTATGTGGGTTTCTATAGTTTTTGGTAAGTCTATCATTCATTCATTACACATATTGCATCATTACGATCAGATTCCAACATCTCTATCAACGACGTACAGAAATATTTTGGTTTCTCATGATTCCTCTGTATGGCCGTTACTTTGTAAAAAAACCACCAAATCATGTTCACACTCGCGACTTTGAGAAGATCGATAGTCCTACAGAAGATAGAAACGAAAGAACATTTACAGAGACGACATTAACGCCACACAAGGCAATGAAAACAAGAGGAACCGAATATCAATTTAAATGGAGAGACTTATTCATAATGTTCCAACATTCTGAGTACATAGCAGCTTTGAACATAGAACATTGGAGCGAACGTCTTGGTATATTTGCTATCATTTGTTTGGGTGAAGGGGTAAGTTTGCCTATTCGTCCAATCTTGAATTTTAAAAACATACCAATCGTTTTTTCAAATTACAAGTAGATGTTTGGTATTGTATATACAAGTGTCAACTCAATTCCTGATTGGCAGCTCGGAAAGGTGAACTATCATACTGTATTATTCCTTTAACATCTACTATTTACTATATGTAAATTAAAATAATTTCTTCTACCTACGAAAAAAAAAGGCAATTTTATCATTATTGTTAGCATACAATTTACATTGGATATATTTTGACGTCGAAGCCAGTAGACAGTTTCAACATGCGCTGAGAAGACATACTTTAACCGGAATATCGTTTACGTTAATTCATTTTCCATTGGTAAGTGATTTTCAAAAAAAATTTTTTTTTTTTTCAATGTACTTGAGTAAGTTAGAATTGACTGACGTTCCGTCAATAATGTACCAAGAACACGGCACTGATCGCTTTTGGGTAAGTGCTAGTCGCCGATCGGGATACGTTTTTTTTTCTTCCTTAAATATTAATTACATCTGATCTCAAATAGCTCCTCATTGAACGAAGTTGTGAAAATAAGAGACTTCCCAGGCGCCGAGGATGTCCCGATGCCAATGCAAAGTCAGGGTAATACTTCGATGGGAGGTTCAGAAGGATTTGAAAAAAGTTTACAGTGGTTACTCTGTGGTTCACTGGCCGTTATCATGTATTGTCTCGTTGTAATCGGTCTTTTGCATAAAGGATTGGATTCCGTTAATTATACGCGAATTTCAAAGGTAAGATGTTTTATGTTGAAGTTTTTTTTCTATTTCCTTCATCTCTTTCTAAAACCATTTTTTGTCCATTTCAGAAATATCGGCTTACTCTCCGATTCGTTATTGCAACGATTTATTTGATTTTACCTCTCACAGGACTTAATTCTGTAAATCTGCTGGCCACGATATCATCAATTTCTCTTGTACTTGTAATCACCGAAACTTACGGAAGACTTCGCAAGAGTGACCCTCTATTTTATAATTGTGATGATGATGTCATTGGCAATCAAAATGAACACCAAGCTTATAAACGTTATGTAAGGTGGAGATGGGGTTCATTAGAATTAAATAAGAAGGGATGGTCCAAGGGTAAATTTAAAAGAAGAGGTTCGACCAAAGATAATGAGAGTATTACAAATGATCAAAAAGATCTTGAAAAAGCATTGTAGGAACGCAACTTCTACTTTATAAAATGTAAAATACAAATATAATATTCATTTAAATAAAAAAATTCGTGTAATTGTAATTTCATTGGCAGATTAAGATTTACATTTGTTACACAATACACGTATGATACGTATGATGTAATCCACCAACCTTCACACACAATCATGTGTGGAATTTTATTTCGTCTAGAATGTCCCTTTTCGAATGAAGTCTCTTCGGAGCACATATCCTTCCACCAAGATTTATTGAGTCGGTTGATAATTCAAAATAAAAGGCGAGGTATATATCAATTACGAGAGTCGATTAATTATACGACCGATAATACACCTGGGGAATTTCATTGTATAATTACTATGTTAAAAGTGACATCCCTCGTTATTTCACATCAGGTCCCAATAGTCAAGATCGGTTTTCTATTTCAATTTGTTCAGCCACTATACCCGATAACCATGTCTCCATGGAATTTTACGGGGCTGTATTACACTTGCGTGGAAAATCCGTGATCAAACAACCTTTGGTGAATGGTGATCAAGATGTTTTATTATGGAACGGAGAAATCTTTGATGGTCTAGAGGTAGGATGCGATTCATCTTGCAGAATATCACATTCAGGATTCTGTTTCAAATTTCTTACAAACTCGGATTACCAAATAAGGTGCCCGCGGGGGAAAATGATACTGCACATCTATTCAAGGCTTTGAAGGAGAACAGTGATGATAGCGATTACAATATTCTCAGTGTACTTCAGAAAATCGAAGGACCTTATTCAATTATTTACTGGCAGGTTCGATGAACAACAGTATTAGTTGGTCTTATTAAAATCATTTTTGAAAATTTGACTACTTAAACGTCGCTAACGATCCTAACCCTCTTAGAGTCTGAAACGCAAATTATGGTTCGGACGTGATTGTTTAGGAAGACGATCTTTATTATGGCACATTCCATCCCATAAGGATCCCAATTTTTTATTAACTTCCGTTGGGTGTAAGATTCCCGATGGTCCAGATGACATTTTTACGACACCTTATTTACAAGAGGTCCCAGCCAATGGGATCTACTGTATTGACGTTGATACCATGTTGTCTTCTGATCCCTCAGGTGAACATCACACTGTCGCTTTACGGAATAACCAATAATTCACGTTGACAACCTTCGCCGAACTTTCTTTAGAATCTTTTGAAAAGTTTTTGATACATAATCGATGGCATAGAGCGGTTGACTTGACTAAAGATGAAAAGTCAAATGTTCTGGTATGCGTCCAAATTTGGAATTGAACTATGATTCACGTTATTTGATATTTATTGTCCAATAGTGTGATGTGTTGTAATAACTTTTTCAGATATTACCTTTTGGTTCATTAGCCAGTACACTTCCCAATCCGAATGACCTTTCTCCATTGTCACCAACATTACCGCCATCGGATTCATCTGTTCCAACAGCATCCGCAGAAATAGAAGTGGCTATAGATCGTATGATTGATGAATTAGGGAACTCGGTTGGCCGACGTGTGGTCGACATCCCACAACTGGGGTAATCTAAACTATATTCATCAAGCGATGTTCATAAAGAAATTTTTTTTTCTTCTCACACATGTATTTTTTTAGGTCACCGAGTGATGCCAGAGTGGCAATATTATTTTCCGGTGGACTAGATTGTATTTGCCTGGCAGCATTGGCTGACAAGTATATTCCGCAAGAGGAATCAATCGATTTGTTAAATGTTGCGTTTGAAAATCTCCGGATACAGCAAGCAAAGTCCAAAAATAGAAAGAAAGGTTCACAAGAAAGGGATGATAAGTTAATATATGATGTACCCGATAGGATAACTGGAAGACAGGGTGTTGAAGAATTAAGGTAGGTATGACTTACTTAATTCCATTATAATATTTTGAAAATAAACGTGAATAACGATCATTACGTTGAATGTTTTATTCCAGAGGAATTTCACCGAATAGGACATGGAACTTTGTTGAAGTGAATGTTCCATACGATGAAGCTTGCGAACGTAAGAATGAGATAGTCGAGTTGATGGCGCCTTCTGACACGGTTATGGATTTGGTAGGCATATATATTAGTTGATTTTTCTTTGTATCACAAGTCAATTCACACACTACCGAACTTAATCACTCAGAGTATTGCGATGGCATTTTGGTTTGCCGTGAGGGGCAAAGGTTTGTTTACGCTGAATTTTGACGGTACCGTAACATTTGAAAATCATATATTTACCGTCCTCCCCTTTGTCGCAGGTCAAATAAAATCATGTGATAATCCAGAGGTAAGTTGGTTATTAATCTATGTGATTTTAAACGTATTGTAGATCGCACTTTTCATGAATCAATTTTTTTAGAATGTGATGGAATATGAAAGTAAAGCAAGGGTGGTACTTGTTGGGGTAGGTGCAGATGAATTGTTGGCAGGATATTCGCGTCATCGGGAAGCATTTAAACAGGGCAGCTGGAAAAAATTAATTGAAGAGGTAAAAGTTCGTAAGAGCTCTCACAGAACTTGTCTTTGTTAATTTTAACGACGATGCAAACTTGACATAGGTGCAATTGGATGTAGATAGGATTTCTACAAGAAACTTAGGTATACACATAATCACATCAATTTATATTAAAGAAAGAATCACCACTGAATCACTGGTTGCTATTTTGTTTTCGTAATCAAAAAATAGGTAGAGATGACAGAATAATCTCTTCACATTCGAAAGAATCCAGATTTCCATATTTGTCAACAAATGTAGTTTCGTTTCTTTGTTCCTTGCCAATGCACATTAAGACGGATATGAGATATCCGAGAGGCATAGGAGAAAAACTATTGTTAAGACACGTAGCGAGGAAATTGGGTTTAGCCAAGGCTAGCGTTCTACCAAAAAGGGCCGTTCAATTTGGAGCTAGAACTGCAAAGATGACTAATGAGAAGAAGGGTGAGAGAGGAGACATGAAAGTTGATGATGAATAATAACAATGTTAAACATTGAGCAAACAAATTATTCGTTTAGAAGGATGTTAATACTCCAATGTGAAAATAGGAACCAAATTTTTCATGCAGTTGATAGCAGATGACTATGATGTATTTAGAGAGTCAAGGGAATTTTATCACACGAACAGACTCCCATGTAGAAACAATTCAATTAATTTAACAATATTATAAATTAAATTTACGAGATTATGATTGGTGTAATACACCTTTACGCGCGCATTCTATTCTCATAGAACGCCGATTGCCCTTAATAAAAAAAAAAGCACTTTTTAATGATTGGTAAAAATTTCTCGGGAATGGCAACGCGCTGAAGGTGTCTTCCTTTGAGGTGGAAGTTATCTGCCCACCGTGTCCCTAATGAAAATGATTGCAAATTTCGAAAAAATCTTATATCACGAAAGAATTGTTTATTTTCTCTCTCTTTGTCGTACATAAACTTAATAGTAAAAAAAAACAAAGACTTGAAAATCGTCATAATCCATGGGAAGAACAAATTCTTAAATCACGGTAATGAATGCAATACAGTAAAAGAAAAACAAATGATTTTCTGCATCTTGGGAAATAGTTATGTAATCGGTGATTCGCATCCTCTTAAAGTGAAAACATTATTCCTCAAAGAACAAATATACACCCAAATTTTTCCACGAAATCCAATAAATTATTCATCCTTTCCACTTGCTCCCGGAACAAATCTTGAAATGCTTCGTGTTTTTCTCTGATAACTTTGAACGCGTCTTCGCATTCCATCAATTTCATCTTGTCACCACCATCCTCCATCATCGTATCCAAAGACTCGAATTTTTCGCACAAATATCTGATATCCTGTTGAACTTCTTTGGCGTTTTCGATTGCGACTTTCGCTTTTTAGTCGGATGAAAAGTGTGGGAAACGACAACAGTAACAAACGAATAATTTGATATCAAGATAATCAACAAGACGCACCTGTGCATTCCAACTCGGAAAGCGCATTTTTTATGGAACCATTGTCATTATACATATTTTGTATCCTTCGACTTTTTTCCAACATGAGGTTCATGCTGGCGATTACGTGATCCTGAGTGTTGACTATGTCGGTTTTGATTTGTCTTACGGTAGAGACGCGTTGCGATAAACCCATAAGTATAATTTTTGTTGTCAAAGAAGGTAAAGGGAAAAAGGAATGAATGATCAATCAATCAATCTAACTATCTTTATCACCTTTTCTTACGTTATACTGTATACTCGATACTTTCTTTACGTCGTCGCAATTATGATTATCACAAAAGGTTGGAAATAGGTGAAATAGAGGACGTCAAACGTTCGGAGTTCAATAAAAAAATATTCATGCAGATAGTAACCTGTGATCTCCTACAAGAAAAAACGCATCTTGATAGCAAACGTTAGCAAACGCGTCTTTTGCCCCATTATGATTCCTGTCACAATTTTCACATCAAAGGATCTTTCCGCATTGTCCACATGTCTTGCTCATATATTCTTCAGTGCACAGGTGGCTTTCTCATAATCCCATGTATTTTTATATTTGTCACAATGCTCCTTTCCAGGATTATAATATGTCTATTCCTGGATTAATGCTTGCCATCTCATTTTTTTGTTTATATGAATGAAACCTATGTTTTTTTTAATCTATTGCATATGGTAACAATTATTTTATTTTTGATTTCTCAATGTTCTTTTGTTGGATATACTGTATTTCAATCTTGCAAATCTTGAATAATCTTTCTTTACCTTCTCTTATTCTTAGAAATGTAACTCATATACAGTACTATTATACCACCAGGCTTTGAATCGGGCAATAATGAAAAGTGGACTCTTGATGAGTGGAGTTCATTGGTGTGGGAGGGAGTCCTTGTCATATTGAAAATCATGAATCGCACCTCATACAAGGTCATTCGTGAATCAGCCAGAAAGGTAAGAAACCCCTTGCATTTGAAGTTGAGTTCTGATCTGACATTGCTGATGAACGTTGCTCCAGTTGTCATTCGCACAAGAGTTCTTTTTGTCATGTGAGTTGTTTGTCACTAGGTATGATGATGTATTTCATCTCCATAGGTTTGTTGGATCTTTTTCACAGTGTGGGTTCCACTAGTGATTCGGTCGCCACCCCGGATTGATTACTCTTCGCATGACGATAATCCAGAAGATTGGCTTTTGAGGCAATACGTTTGGCCAAACTTTTCACCCGCTAATCTTCTCCTGACTTTCCCTCTAGTCATTCTTTGCGATTGCAAGCGTTCGCTACACGTGACAAAGGTAACCACCAATATTAGCTTTAGAAGCCCGTTTTCTTTATTATGGCGACGTGCAAAATTCCAAGTTAAAGCGAGTTAGGTGTTAATTCAACCAACTGGTCTAAACAATAAACGCCACTTTTGTTTATATACATTGTATGAGAGTTTGGATCCATGAATGGACAGAGGTAAACACCATAACCTTTCATTATTCGCATTATTACGTGTGTTTTTATTAGACGTGATGTTACAAAGTCCTGACAAGTTCGATCTATATTATTCTATTAATGTTTGTGTGAACTCGATGAGGTAAAATTTAACGGTAACAGGTCACAATGATCCACTGTTTTTCTCGGCAAAATAGATGCCTTCTTGTGCAATCCATTCGGTATTCTTGTCATTTTTCGATGAACCCGCAACTTCAATTTGTCCGTGAATTGGATTATTATAGACTTTATCTTTACTCGCTGATAAGTATGCTGACGTCTCGAAATGTATAAGTTTGATTTTCTGCTCTCGCAACCAATACTTTGCGGAGGTATTCACACACATTAATTTCCAATTGTCACCTACGAGAGATCAAAAGGAACCGATTAATTGAATGAATGACAAGTTCAACCATGGGCCGAGAGATCGATAGTTACCTGTATCCAATCCATCAAACGCACTGACTTCTTGCTGATTTGACAACGGAGACACGTGAAGATGACTATGTAAGAATTTTCCTGTACCAATGTGTTTCAATCGTATCAATGATCCACATTTGACCGCTTCCCTAGGAGTTGAAATGAATTAATAATAATTTAAGACTCTTGAATCGCATAAAAAACATCGTGACTCTCACCCTCTTGAACATGTGGATCCAACAATCGGTTTGATAATCCAAAGCGAATCAGGATCATCAGAACTCGAAAGTCCGGTGACGCTTTGTTGACCAGACCCGGTGCCTAAAAAAAAATAATAATAATAAAAGGTCATTCATTGAATCTCGCCAGACTCTCTCTATCTAGATGATGATGTCCAGATCACACGCCTCACAACCTACCATATGAAATTGCGTGTGAATGTAATTTGTAACTTGAAGGACCATGAGTCAACTTCACCGCCGAGCCGCAAGTTACTGAAAGAGTAAGATGTTTTTTTTAGCATCTATAGAAGAAGAGAAAATGTCTGGTGAATTCGAAAATTAACATACCTTTTTCAAACTCTATTTCATAAATATTCGAGGAAGCAAAGAAATGAGTAATCACCACAAGTATTAAACATGGAATAACACAACGATTAGGCCGTGACAAAGTAAATTCTCAACTCTCGCAACATAAAATCTTAAAAACAGAGGGCGTGTGGGTCGTCTTATGACACATCACATGTCTTTTTATTTAGAAACAGTGTTTTTGTTGAGAGATAACATCAAATCATCATTGCCCGACTGATAGAATTTGTGTTTGCTGAGGGTTCCGAGATATCACACCAAAAATTCCTACCTTCATCAATATCCAAAATTTGACTTTTAGAAATTGATATTACGACGGCACAAACAACAAATAAAATGATTAATCCAATCCTAAATTTCATATTACTTTTTCTATTATCATATGATAGGATTCAAAAAAAAAAAAAAGACTGGAACTCGAACGAAATCGGCATTCATGAATGTGTTGATATTTGATTGGGTAACCATCGACAAACCATTAAATCACGTGAATTTACCAAAAATATCGAACCGAATTAAACATACTTCTTATTTAGCCTTGACTATAAGGATCACGCTAACACTAAAAGCAGTGATGAATGAACCATATGATACACGAACAATTCGAGTCAAAAGTTAAATTAATAAAATAAATTTTTTCTTGTGTTTATAAATAATTTAAGTTTTCAGAGAGAGATGCAAATTTTCCAAATAAATGAGCATGAACGGTGCCAAAACCATTCTCACCCTGCAAAAGCGTATATACCTTATTAAATCTCAAAATAATGTGATTCCTCATCTGGGCAGGCTGAAGGAGGTCACCTTGATGCCTTTCGTTGTTGGTGGAATGAAGTCTTATAGGTTTGTGAGATTTTCTTTTAAAATCAATTCCCCTCGTATATACTGTTTGTTATACTGTTCGCACGGTTCTGAGAAAGAATGAATTCTCATCACGAAAAAGAATTACGACCGACAACTCCAAGTTCAACAACAATCTTGACAAAAATGATCTTAAAGAAGTCACAACATCACCAATTGTTAATGAAATTGATCAAATCTATTTAACCACCCTCAGTCAACAAAATATCATGAAAGACATCAAACAGTCCGAGAAGGAATATCCAATTCTTCACGGAGATAAATTCGATCAGTTGTTTGACCTACAGGCTGATACCTTGTCGAAAATCGAAAAGCTCAGTAAGGAGATGATGAGTCAACAACAAGAAATGAAAGATGGAATGGAAAACACCAAGCGAACCTTCGTCGATGAAGAAATCGAAAAGCTAAAGAGAGAGTTAGATCGAACCGTATCTCGAATAAGCCACGAATCTTTGAGGAAAAATTCGGAACGAAAGATGAGCGAAAACTGGAGCTTACAATCGGTTCGACCGTTTTATGAAATAATCGGAAGCCTCCATGAATTACGTGCAAAATTGAATCACACCACTCCGCCAATTCCAGAAAAGACCTTAAACTTCGTTACCAATCGACTGATTAAGACTGTAGGCTCTATTGAGAAGCGATTGGAAAAGATTATATTCCATCATCGCAACAACTTCTCCGAAGACTATCTTAAGCACGCGAAAGAAGAATTGAAGGTACAAAGGTCCCTTCTTGTGACCGAACGGCTTAGACTTGGTACCTCGCTGATCCTCACCATGTTTGCGAGCTTCTTTGCCGTGCAGTACTATCAAGACAATAAAAAGAATAATCCGAAATCCGAAAAAGAGATGCAATGCTAATTCGCACCCATTTCTAAAATCTCCAATAACACTTGGTAAATTTAAAAATGTTTACTATTTAGGGAACTCCTTTTTTTTTTCCCAGCCTACCACCCTATCACCTATTATTGCCATTGTTTTTTTTTTCTTTCAAATCAACGACTTTTATCTCGCCCAGATTTAATGCAATCGAAAGTAATTTATGTTCACATATGTATGCACATGTCTTATACTTTTTGCCCAGTTTTCAAAAACGATTTCCCGAGACTCAAATCATTAACATGTGTTTGTAAGTGGTCAAATCAGTAAAAAATAATGTACACTTTTTTTTTTTTGACTCGCATGAGACTAGCTTAATTGGCACTTTATGGTAATGTTATGCTTCATTGTATCAAAAAGAGCTTATAATATTTTTATTTATCTTCTAATTATAGTCGCATTCAAATTTCAAGGGAACTTTAATACGTAATGATAAATAAACAATTTGTCATTTACACAATATTCATTTTTTTTATGAGTGATAATTAAATGTTACTTTGGAAAATTTTTATACTACATAATTGGAAATATTTCACATACTGTAGTTACTCGCAAAGTTGAGGCATGAAGTTACACTATGATACCTTCGAACCACCATCTCGTCTTCCGTCCCACTCTGTGGCTACTTCTTCCCCAGACCCCGAGCCGTACATGTACGCATCATTGTTGATTTTGTGGGATAATATTCGGCAAAAAAAAACAGAGCCTCACAGTGGCAGAGCGCCTAAACAAAAATGCATCTGGTCACTAGGTCCATAACAGCCGTGATACTAATTTGGTCTTTCAACAAAGCAATTCATCAATGCAAGAATTAAAAATTCATTGATTGGTCAATGCGCAAACAAATGAAAAAAACCCGACGAAAACAAATGAAAAAAAAAAAAAATAAAATGAATGAATGAATGAATAAATGAATAATTTTATTTATTTTTTTTTTTTATACACTTTTGCAAACAAGAGAAAATTCTCGAAGTCAAAACTTTGCCCTATTAAGTATAATCGTTAAATGAACACATGTTCTTCCCATGATGCCATTTCTGACAATTGGTTTTAAGAGATTGTTGATAAGCAGATGCAGACTGCATTGTCCTGAAATGGTAGTCTTGTGAGGTCTTGTGATTTCCTTTTTCAACATTTTTTTCAATGATTTCATTGGCGGTGACAAAGAAGTCGATCTTTAAAGTTTCGTTCATGATAAATAGGGCTATTCGAAAGTCGAGATGACTTTAGTAAGTACTTGATGAAACGTTAAAAAAACAAAAAATCCCTTTCCGTTATAAAACCCGTTGTTCCCCTTGGGAATTTCTTTTAACACGAAACACCACCCTATTTCTCCTTGCCAACAAAGCGATCCCGGAGTATTACGATAAAAATTACGAATTTTTCAAAATAATAATAATAATAATAATATAACCTTTTCACCCAAATCACACGCTGTTATATTTTATTATTAACCTTTTTCCAACATGAAATTCGGCAAGGTCCTACAACACGAAATTGAAGATATTCCCTCCGAGTGGAGACCCTTTCTCATCCAATATAAGACTCACAAAAAATGTATTCTTAAGATTGTTCAAGAATTGAATGAAATCGGAATGTCTCACGACATTCTTAAGGAAATGTTTAAAGCTGCGGAAGGTTATAAGCTTGAATACACTTTTGCAAGTAGGTGTTTCTTATTTAAACACGGTTTTTCGTGATTCAATTGATGGCGCATCTAATCATCTATTTAATGAAAGGCGATAAGGCGCACGTTCGTCCGTGCATCAAACTTGACCTGGACGACTGTGAACATATTTCAAAGTCCCAATTATCTACCTTTACCCAACTAGCCGGAAAGTCGCATGCTTCTTTCTCAAAATATGACAATTGTTCGGTTTCAACGTTATCCTCGACCCTTTCGGATGATTCCGAAACCAGCGCAACGAGTAATGGTTTTCTCTTTGATGACCACCATTCGGAACAAGTGACCGATAACGAAGAGGTCGTAGTTCTCATGGAGAAGTTTTTGAAAAAGCTTCCAATGTGAGTAAATATATGAAATCTAACTTGGTCTTCCAAATTTAACATGTACGCGCGTGCATTCGAAATTTCTCACGCATTTCATTTCCACTGGTAAAGGACATTATGCATTGAACTTGAAAGTGATGGTGAATTCTTCGACATTCTCTTTGAAGAAATTTCCCAACTGAATCGCCTTCAACAAAAGAATCAAGAACAATTCTGCGATCGGCTTGAAAAATTGCGACCTTTGTTGATCGATGCGGTATGCTTATGATTTTTCCTAGTAAACATTCGGGTTAACGAGAACTAATTTCATAAATGATCAAAAAGACCTCCCCGTATAAAGCGGACATGTACGTCTGGCGAGAAATACTTCAACTATATACTCAGGCCGAAATTTTTTTCGGCAATATTGAGACCGATAGAAAAGCTAGAAGTTATGAAGTTTCACAGGAGCAATTCGATCGATTTGTCGAAGAATTGAATAAACATCGATTGGTAATCTCCATTCTTGAAATTATTCCGGCGTCCTTCATGTCAATTTTTACATTTTCTCTTTTTTCTCTTGCAGCAAAAGAAGTTGAGAAACCCATCCTCGAAGATCGCCTTTGAGGAGTTTATAAAGGTATATGATCAAATTCACATCAAAAGAAATCTTTGCCTTACTAATTTCTACGAATTTTTTCGAAATCTTTAGCTTAACCGTGAGCTTGTCGCAATGAAACATTTTCAATTCATGAACCAAGTTGCAATGTCCAAAATTCTAAAAAAGCACGACAAAAAGACATGCCTATCGTAGGTGTTTTCCTCATTAACGTCTTCCATGACGTTCCTCTTCAAACTCACGTCCATTTGCTCTTTTAGCGCCAGTTCGAATTTCCAAAAACTCACGGAGAATGCTCCGTATCTTAACGACGAAATAACTACGTTCCTTCATAACGCCTTGATTGTGAGTGATGATTTGATCATGTGACATATACGCTTCAGAGAGGAATTATATATAATAAGGACGTCGCCTTTTTTCTTAATAGGAACGGTTCACTTCAACCATTCTCCTAATTGAAGATTATTTGTGTCCAATTTGCATTTGTGAGTTGTACTTGCATTTTCTACCCCTCCCCCCAAAAAAAAATTTTTCTAATTAATAAATTGATAATATCATTGTCATAGCCATTCATTGGAAGCCAGTTCGTCTACGTTGTAGACACGTCTTTTGCATCCGATGTCTCGTCAAGGCAGAACGTGAGGGAATGAAAGACTGTCCCATATGCCGAGCAAAAAACGCGATCAAATATGCTGATTCAGGTAAATAGCTTTATTGCGTGGTTTCTCTTACATCCGAAAATCTTACAAATTCTATACCTTCTTAAAAAAGACAACATAGACACTTCGTTAATGAATTTGTTGAAACTTTACTTTCCACGTGAAGTAAAGCAAAAACAGACTGACAATGAACGAGAGAAAGCGATAGAAGACATGGAAATTCTCACAGGCCGTAGGTATGATCAATGCGCCATGATGTGAGCCGTAATCCACTTTTTCGAAGATCTCTATTTATTTTCGATAAATTATCCGCACGATTCTCCCCTCCCTTAACTAACTATTGATATATTGGTTAATTACATATACTTATTTTCCACAAGCACGTTTTCTTATCCAATTCTCAGACTTTTTTAGTAAATTATTTCTTCTTATTCCCTTAAGCACCTATATTATATAGACTTTTGACATATCTTTATCGTAAAATTTTCTGTAAAATATTCTTGTATGTAAACTATGATATTCATTACTTATTTATATAATTATTTTCGTTATGCTTCCCGCTTAAAACCTTATGCAACCAAACCTTCCTTCTCATGTAAAAAGCATTTGTTTCTTCTATATACTGTACTCTTTCCACACTTTCCACGTCTCTATTTAACAAACGATAGTCGGGGGGGAATTATGTCAATAAACAAAATCAGAAAATGGAATTTTATGTATCAAACAAATTGAATGAAGTCTACTATGATTTTGCGAAACCTGTAATATCATTATCCCAGGTATTATTACAATCATAATAATGATTTCGAATAGTAACAATTCGATTTCAAAGAATATAAAATTACAAGAGTAATGGAAATACATACACAATTTACATATTAAGGATTTAAAAATAATCAATTCATTTGATAATTTTATTTTACTGCATAGTATATATACTGTAAAAAAAAAAAAAAAAGTACCTCCCATATGTAAATAAAATGAGTTACAGTAAATGCCAACATGCCTATAGTAATTAAATACTAATATTAATAATAATATCTTTTATATGATCCATTGATCAATAAGTTTAATATTCACTTGCCTATAGGAAACTACCTAAGCAATATAGAAAAATAAATATTAAGTATTACAAATAATATCAAGTATCTATAAATGCCTATGTAAAATTATATTTAATAGACCAATAATAATAATAATAATAATAATAATAATAAACACTAAATAAAAAAATAATATATAAAAAACGAATTATAAAATAAAGAATAATTAGGATACAAAAAGATATGGTATTTAAATATGCTATTTTGATTCTGTTTTTTTGAAATACAGTAATATTTTTTGAAATAGTCGGGTTATTGTTTAAAATATATAATAATATGTTTCTTAATGATTGATTAAATATAATAGTTGTTAATGAATAATGATAATAATAGTAATATAATTATAATAATAAATAATAGCTAGCTTTTAGTTATATTATTAATTTATCATATATGTGTATTTGATTGATAATAATAATAAAGAAATGATATAATACTTGAATTTTAAATTGCAATCTGAACCTGTGTAACTATAAAACTAAAATAAATATAGATAAGAGTTGATATTCTCGTTTATATTGGTAATTTAAATATTAATATGATATAATTATTTTATATCAATTTTTTGAAAAAAGAAAATAAGTTTGGATTTAATTATATTGTTATATAATATTGATTTTAAAAATTAATTTAAAAAAATTATTTGTTTATTTTTATTTATTATTGAACAAAATATTTTTATGATCTTTATCAAAAAATAAAATTGTTTCTTTTTTATATACAATTTTTTTTATAAAAATTGGTTTTTTAAAGAAAATAATATAATTCAAAGGATTGTTATCAAATAGTAAAAGTTTTTTAACAATGATTTTAATAATTTGAAAATTATAAAAAAATATAAAATTTTATATACTGCATATACTGTATATTAAACAATTATATATTTATTAAGAGATAATATTTTATTTTTTGCTATTGATAATTAGTATTAAATTATTTATAATCCTTTAAGTGATTATCAATTTTCATTTATTCTTATATTTATAAATATTTTATTATAACCAAAATTTTATCAAAAATCAAATTAGTTTATTTTCAATAAAAGATTTTTATTATTTATTTGTTTGTTTTATTTTATTAATTAACTAGGTCTTGTTTAATATACTATATTATTTAATTTATATATATATTTCTTATATTATAAAAATTATTTTTTTTTCCTGTAGATAAATACTAATTCTTTATTTATTTGTATATTACAAGATATACATTTAGAAAAAATCAACATCTCTTAAATATAAAGAATACAACAAATTAAATGCTAACTTACCTGTTAATACTATAAATAGTCAATACTGAAAAGAAATTTTAAAATAACATTGTTGCTAAATATAGACCAAATAGTAGTTATGCTTATTTACTTAGAAAAAAAATATTTAAGACATAAAGAAAATTTAAACAGAAAAAAAAATTTGAAAAAAAAAAATAATTATAATTATAATTAAAACAAAATTAAATAATCTATAAAATCTATATAAAAAAAAATTATATTTTTAAGAGAACCTTTGGCTAGACTTATTGTTCTGTCTCTCCAATTTTTTGCTACTTGTAAGCATAATCTTTGTTAATATAAATGATAGAGTATATATAATTTGGTTTGTTATTATAATTGTAATTATTATTGTGTTAATATAATTAATAAATAGTAAGATAATTGGTTTAATGGATAGTAAGATGATTGGTTTATAAATTGGTGGTGTAATTTTGTTTTGATTATAATTATCAAACTTAATTATATTTATATTGATTATTGTATAATATTTTGGTTATATGTATTTGTTTTAATATTTAATATTATTTGATTGATTAAATTTAAAATAGTGATTAATTAATAGAAGTAAACTAATTATAATTTTTTGATTTTTTATAATACAATATATTATACTAAACAATATTGAAAAGTAAGTATTATATATATTGCTAATACTTTAAATCAATAATATAAACAATAGTAATGGAAGATTTGATTTTTTGAGTTAAAAAACAACTCTTCAAAAACAGAAAATAATTATTTAATAAGAATTGTTTTTTAGTAAAAAATATAAATGGGAAAAACTTCAAAGAAGATTTGTAGAAAAGTAACTGTTACAAGCCTTTTCTTATGCAATTCAAGAAAAAAGCAAAGTCCTTAAACTTGCTTTTCCCTGGCCAAAGGTTTCATCTTGATATATCAATATACTTTTTTAAGTTTCTTGAGGTTTCTGTAATAAAGATAAAAGAAGTGTAAAAGACTTTTAAATATTAAAAGGTGAAGATAAAAAAAACTGTTTCTTTAATTTTAAAAAAGTTATTATATAAGAAAATTTTTAAAAAAATATTGTGTATAGGAAAAAGTTATAATTATATATTATAAAAATTATTATTTATAAACTATTATAGATATTATTAAATTATATCAAATTACTCTTATATTGATTTGTTACTATTGATCTTACCTTTAAAAATATTAATCAAAATTAACATATTAAGATTAAGGCTCCTAATGATATTACTTTGATATCAGTTTGATACTTAAATTTATTATAAAAACATATAAGTAGATCACAACTATGATTCTGAAAATTGAAATCAAACAGAATTGCAAGAAATTGCATAAGGTTCAAAATGCTATTAAAAACAATAATAAGATATATCCTATTTATTAAATTTAATATAAATTTGAGAATCGAATACAGAATTGAAAAGAATCATTAGAATCCTTAGTTACAACTTATATATTAAATTTACTATAAATCAGTACTATTTCAATATCAGTTCAATACCAGTTCAGTACTTTTTGAAGCCTTAATTAAGATATTATTAATATTACTAATATATTTTTTTAATTATATTCTAAACTATACAATTTTTTAAAAAAAATGTTAAAATAAAAAAACTAAAAATAATATTTATATATAATAAATAGAACTCTATAAAAAAAATATTTTAGACTTATATTATTTGCAAATAGATATATTATTTAACTTTTACTATTTTTTTTTTTTTTTTTAAGAGGCAAATTATGCAATGATGCATATCTTTTATTGATACTAGTATCTAAGTTATACATCAAGTGTCTTTTAAGTACAAAGTCATTTTGTACAATTCATACATCATCTATATCTTCTATGTAACTAGAATTAATACTGCTTATTGACTATTACTAGTAATAGCTAACTTAATTTGACCTCTAACCCAACTATACGAACTTACACTTCGTGAGTAGGCCCACATACCAGGTGGGACTAATTTCCAAGGGGTGGGAGGTCCTGCTATCAGTTTAAACCTGCCTAAACCTATTAGTCCATCTAGGTCGTAAGGAGCGTGTATCTTTCAGGGTTGATTAGAACACCCGAATAACCCGTTCAATACTTTTCACTTGAAATCTCAGAGAAGATACTATACTCATTGTCACCACCTGCGGCTTTCGTTTGTACAATGAATCGTCCAATCTTCTTTTAAGCAAGTGCCGGATTGGGATAACCTCAAGCTAGGATGTTCTTTGTGCTACAGAGTCTGCTGTGCCAGGAGGTTTTGTGAGCTTTTATCGGAGTTAGACCAGAAGCCTTTCCTCATGCAACCTTTCCTGCTTCGACCTGTTTTCAGCCCGCGATCGTCAGAAAGACCAGAGGTCCCATCTTCATGCAGCCTAACTGAATTTAGTCAAGATCCAGATGTTTGGATACTTCATATGTAGGAAAACCGGTAAACCTACATACAGATGAATTTTTGTGTTTTGCCCCCTGTGAGTATTGAACTAGGGACATGCATTTGGAGACCTGGGAGCACTATCCACTGTGCTATAGACCCACAGAATTATTTAACTTTTACTTTTTCTAGTGCTATTCAAAAATATTTAAGAAATTTATCTTATAGATTTATTGTTTATAAATTATTTTGGCTATTAATACCTATTGTTATTTTATTTGTTTTTTTGAAATAAGTAATTATGTATTAAGATAATTTATTATTTAATTAAAATAAAATTTTTTAATAACTTGCAAAAAAAAAAAATATCAAAATATTATATAAAAACAATTATCAAACTATTTTATTTAAATTTAGATATTTCATTAGAGCTCCTAATAATACTATTTTAATATTATCTTAATATTAGTTTAATACTTAAATTTATTATAAATTTATATAAGTGGATTACAATCCATATATTAAATTTAC